CCCCTAGTTAACGGGAAAGTGGTAAGATGGTGTTGCTCTCTATGGTGGATAGGATTCCCTTGGTTAGAATTTGTTATATTTCTTATCCCGTATGAGCGTCATTTGTTCTAGCCTTCATCATTCTTGTGAGCGGAATTTAGGATCCTTAACTATGCATGTTTTAATCTTTGTGTTGGCGTCTAGCTCCCAAGATCGTGACCATTTAACTCTAGAGGAGGAAGAGGGCATTTCTTCTCATTTTTCTTTGTGTTTTGTTACAAATTTGGTTTCCATTTTTTTACATTCACCCTCTTGCTAACCAATTTGAGCCTTATTTCCCCTTTCTTGACTTAGCCATATTACAAACCTATCGGCTATGTTCTACCAACTCCTGTAGTTAGTGAAGCATTGGCTTGTGAGGTTCGAGTTTGATAATGTTGAAATTAAGCAAGAAAGTTGTGTAATTTGGTTCAAATAAGGTTTTGAAAGGTTATTCATGAAAAGAGTACGCAAAAAGGCTTGGCAAGAAAGTTGAAACTCATGAAAACCAAGCAAAAAAAAAAATGAAAAAGATTGAAGTAATGTGTTCTGGTTTGTTTTAAAAGGTTGTGAGTTTGAGAATAGGTTCAATTCTTAGGATGTTCTTAAGAGATGGCCACTCTTACACTTCACTTAGGAATTGCCACCAAAATTTTCAAATTATTTCCCAACCATAACCCCTAGCCATGACATTACAACCCTACTTAAGACCCTTGGATTCTAGAGGGGCGTGGTCAAAGAACGGAGGAGGGAGATAGACTTCAACCCTATGGAGAGAGTATGCATAGTTGAGATGTCGGGATGACCTTATGATTCCACATAAAATTTTCTTTTTCCGATTGCCTCGAGGAACCATGAGGAGCTAGCTAGGGGATGGATTGAAGCTAGTGGAGAGAACGCGGACCGTCTTGGTTGGGGCTAGGGCAGAGAATGAAATCATTAGTTCTCTACGCTTAGCTTAGGTTTGTGTTTTTCAACCTTGAGCATCTTGGAACGTGTTTTCCCTCTTGAATTGAGAAAGATAAGTATTCTTTGGTGCATTTATTTGCAAATGAGTCCAAATTGAGCATTCCATTACCTTGAGGCTTGATTGGTTTTGCTAAAACCTTGTCATGTTATGTTTGTTGTGTTTGTCTTTTTGTTTCGGTTTTCCTTGCTTGAGGACAAGCAAGAGACAAGTGTGGGGATTTTGATGAATGGCATTTATGCCACTCTTTTATCCTTTTTCTCTAAGGATTCTCCCCTCATTTGCACTTGTTTGGCCGTTTTTCTAAGCATTTTTACTTAGTTTTGCTTCCTCTTTTCTTTTCTCCTTTATCTTCTCTTTTCTTAGTCTTCTCGCTTTATTTTTATTTAAATTTCCATGCTTTTGTCTTTTAGGTATTATGTGTCGAAAGGAAGAGAATATCAAGAAGCCAAGCTAACTGTTGTGCAGGCGCGCATGTTTGGCTGTGCGGGTGCGCAACTCTGTCAGAACCCGCGCAGCCAGACTGAAGAAACAGAGCCTAACTAGAGAGTTTGCGCGACTTTCTGTGCGGTTTCTGTGCGGGCGTACAACCTGATGCGCGGGCGCGCAGGCCTACTGTGCGGGCGCGCTTATTTTCTCGTACCCTCAAAGTTGCGGCCGCGCACTACGCTGAGAGGGCGCACACACCTACTGCGCAGGCGCGCATGTGTCGTGTGCGGGCGCGCACGGTTAGGTTTCTGATTTATTTGCGCCTTGTTTTCCAAGTCTCTTTCTTTTGGGGGGAGCCACATATATATAGACAAGACTCTTTGTAATAGAGGACACTTAGTACTAATTCCATAGAACATTAGCCTAATCTAGAGAGAGAAAATAGATTGTTATTCAAGCATCCTTTATAGTATTCAACTTTGCTCAAGTTTTAATCTTCCATCAATCAAGCAAGTATCCAAGTTTTCATCTTTCTTTAATCCTTTCTTTAGTAATCTCTTCTCCTTTCCTTTAGTATTATTTATTTGTTTTATTGTTACTTATTCTTGTCAATCTTATTAGCTTATTTAGTTGTTATTGATTTCATTAATTTTAATCATGTTTTGTTTTGAGTTTCTTGAGTTTATTTCTAGTTTTGATATTATGTTTAATCTCCCTTCTCTAGGCTAAACTTTTAGCTAGGGGAAGGGGGTGGAAGATATGATTTGATATTGGATAAATGATGATGGTTAGATTGAACTTATGCCATATATTGATGAAAGACATGATTTTTATTAGCTTGGGATTATTGTTGCACTCTATTTGATGTTTTCTAGTTTAAATGCATGAAAGTGATTTGAACTAGATTAGGATCATCTCTATTTTAATGATTGCATGAGAATGAGTTATTAAAGTTGAGTTTTTATGGATTATGCTCTTTATTCTCTTGATTTGATTGTAACTAATAGGATGCATGAGAATGATCCTTATTAGTGTAGACCTCTTTCATTGATTTGCCTAGACTATTGCATGAGAATGAGTTGTTTAGGTAGAATCTTGTGTTCTTTGGCATATGTTTCATGATAATCACCATTATTCTCCTCTTTCTAATCATATTGGACACCCCCGTATCCCTAGCGTCATTTTCTATTGATTATAATCATCATCTTCTTGCTTATTTGTAGTTTTAGTGTTCTTACTCAACAAAACCAACAAAAACAATCCCCCTTTCACTGTTGCATTAGTGATATTTTATGTTGAATTAGCGTGCTTCCCTAGTGGTTCGACCCTTTACTTACCACTAACTAGTTTAGTGTAGGTTTAGGTATTATAAATGATTAAATTGGTTAGGGTAGTAGCTTAACGACCTATCTATCCGCGATCAATGCTATTTTCGAGGGTTTTTTCGTTTTACGAAAATTTTTAAATCTTTCTAACTTTGAAAATTAATTGCATATTTATGGTGGTTATGTAATTGGTTCAATACATATTTTGTATGAAATTTTAAACCTCTTTAGGCATGATTACTTGGTAGTAATTTGTGCTTGAATGCTTGGTTTTATTTTTTTCCCATAATTGCAAACTAATTGCATTAAGTGTGAAATTGTTGTTCTTTGAGGCTTCCAAGTATTAAAGATTCAATCTTTAATTATGTTAAGTGATTGAAACTTTATATTACTAAATTCCATGAATTTTTATTAAACTTTGTTGATTTAATCATTTTTTAGTTGATTGGAATCATAAAGTTTGAAACTTTGTGATAGAAAAATTGTTTATCTTCATATTGGAAGATATAATTTTTTCAAGGATTCACAAGTATTAAAGGTGGAATCTTTATTGAACTTATGTTCATTTTTCCAACTCCCTCTTATTTTGTTGAAAACTCAAGATTAATTTAAATTAATTAAATTAATAGTGAGTAATTGCCCTATTATTTTTGTTGCACCAAGTTAAACCAATTTAATTAAAGATTGGTTCTTAGGAATTATTTTGGTTACATGCACTTTAAAAATTTTATTTTAAGTTAGACTTGTTTAAATTTTCAGTTTTACTCAATGAATTAATTCTAAAATTAATTTAGAATTGATTAGAGATGTCACACAAAATCGAGAATTAATTCCAAGGCACAAGCACGCAAACCAAGGCACAATAGCCATGTGCATCCCTCGGCCAGCTGGGCTGCCGAGGGACGAGGCTGCTGTGCTTGGTGCGTATGGTGCTAGGAGTGTGCCAGGAGCTGTGTGCTGACTTGGTGCATAGGGGTGTGCGAGATAATGTTAGGCGTAGAAGCAGTGCTAGGCAACTGTAGCTAGATGCGCATCTAGTGCGCGCTGCCATGCAGCGCCCAGCAGCATCATAGCATGCAAGGCCGAGGATGCTAGGCAAGCGCTCAGCACTTGCGTGCGTGTGAGTGCTCAAGGCTACTAGCCTTGGGTAGTCGATGCACTTTTCTCTCTTTTTTAATTTTGCTTTTTAGCCGTTTTGTTTATTTTAATTAATTTTAATTATTTTAATTAAAATTTTGGAGGCTAGGCCTTGGGTTTTGAGCGGCATTGACAAAATTTATTTTGACAAATTTTGGGATTTAGCGGCTTAATTAATTGGATAAGTTAAGTTGGATGCGGGATTTAGTGGGAGCTTTATATGTTAATTGTGCTTATTTACATAACCGGTTAAAACAACTTTGACTAGTTTTAATTAGGCGTGTTAATTGGATTAACCATCTAGATTAGTTAGTAGTTCACGTGTGTTTTTGCATTGTTACTTTTTTATCGTTGTAAAATGCATGGGCCATTCACAAATAGTGAATGGATGAATGAAATGTATATTCTCTCATAGGTTTTATTAAATGGCAACTAGTGGGGCCCGATTAGGATAGAAAATACAGATTGCGATCCGTGATGTATTTTTGTAAATCTAAATACGGTGTGCATACCGTTGAGTATTTTTGTACCTTAATATTTAGATTAGTCCTAGTCGTATATACTAGAAGTTGCATTTAATTATGGTCAAGTCTTGAAGATGGATGTTCTTAGAAGACGTAGCCATGAAGTTTCAATGAAGTCCTTTTGAAGATTTGAAGATCTCATCAAGGGGTCATGCTAGTTGCCAAATGCATATATATTTATGTTTTTCAATATCTTTTTTTATATATATATATATGTATATATATATATATATATATATATATATATATATATATATATATATATATATATATGTTAATGTATATGAATTATATGTTAGATGCATGTTTAGGATTTCAATGTTGTGATGATTAATTAAGTTCACTTAAATCAACCAACATAGAAACCCTAGGTCCCTAAATATTGAGTAAAACTTGCCATTCCAAAAGGCGAACGAGGGCAGTGGTGGGCTACGACAAAGCGAGGCATCACTACCTCTCCTAGGAAGTAAGGCATACCGGGTATGCAAGTTGGTTTTGGTTGTACTTAACGACATGAGTGATGGAGTCCTAACATGTCGTGGCAAAGTGACACTAGTAGAAAAATGGTAATTGGCACCGAGCCATGGCCACCAGTTTTAGAAAACCGATGGGAAAGAAAAGGGGAAAAACGGGCGCGATTTTGAGGGAAGAGTATTGCCACCGGTTTAAAACGAACCGGTGGGAAAATATTAATCCCACTGGTTTGAACCGGTGGCTTTGTTAAAAAAAAAAAACGCGCTCATATGAATAGGCCAAAACCCTAGCCTCTCATGCATCGCCTCCCTCCTCCTCCTCTCTTCTCTCTCTCTCTTCTTTCTCCTCTGCTTCTCTTTCCTCAACTAGCTAGATCTCTCTGCTTCTCTCTCATTATCAACAACCATCATCGCCGCCGCCCCTTCTCTCATCTGCTTCTCTTTCGTTCTCTCATTAGGGCTCAGTTGCAAAATCGAAAATCTCCCCTAAAAACATAAAACTCCGGAGAAAGCTCAACAACGGCGGACGGAGGCGACATGGAAATCTCTCTTGACAAACTCCCTAGCAAACACCTCGAAATCATCGAAGAATTCAGCGTCGAACGCTTCTCATCTTACATTATCTCTCCTCCATCTTTACAATTGCTTAATTTGACCTAATTTTTCTGTAATTTTTGTTGATTTTGATTTTAAATTATGGAATATTTTCAGCGACATCGAATACGAAGAGAAATCAGTGAACTTGATTCGGACTTTGCTTGGGCGTTGGAGAGAGATGCGAAGAAGCAGAAGAAGACGAAGGAATCATCAGCGCCCTCCACATTGCAAGGGGTGATTGAGAATTTGAGATTGGCTTATCAAGAGCTCTCTATTATCATTGATTTAATTAACACTGTAAGCTCCTTTTTCTACGAATTACACTGATTTTATTTAATTATTTACTTATTTTTTTTCTGGTTGTTATGCTGTATAATCATGCCTAGAAGTAGTATATATATATATATATATATATATATATATATATATATATATATATATATATATATATATATATATATATATATATATATATATATATATATATATAGCTTTGGTACCATTAATTATTGTTGCGTTTTGTGGTTGTTTTCAAGTATTAATTGTACTCTAATGTTCACGAATTTGCTGCTCTAATTGCTGTAGTTGTTCAGTGGGTTTACAGCCTCATTTAGTCTTGTTTTAGTTTGTTTAATTTCTGTGCCTAATATGGTATAGCATCATGTTAGATATATCTCTAAGTTAAAATATCATGTTTTGGGTAAGTTTCGATATGATTATGAGCCTAAACCTAAGCAAAAGTACTACTGTCAGGTTAATTAATGAACTGTGTGAATTGAGTGGTTTTAACTGATTTATTTCATAATTTTTATGCCTAATCTTGTGCCTATCATGACCTATTATGTTTTTAGAGTATGTATGTTAATGGGTTAAGGTTGATTATGGATTTAAGGTTGGTTGTAAACAATTTTGTTATGCAATATGCTGCTAGAATCTTACTAGGGGCTGCTATTTTTTAGCATGTTAAAGACATGAATTTAAGCCATAATTCTAAGTACTAGGTGTTCACAACCCATAATTTGGTTTTATTTTTGAAGTATAATCATTCAATTTTTAATTGCAAGTGTTCAAGATGCACGATGAAAGTATTGTAGAATGAGGATCCAATTTGAGCTTGAATATCATTTTTTTTTTTTTTTAAGCCTAAAAGTAAATTTCCCTGCTTTCCTTGAGCCTTTTCATTGTCATTGCATCTTATTCACAGTTGAGCTCTTGGACATGAAGTTAGCCCTTCTCTTTGGAGAGAATTGATAATTGGATGATCATTTGAGCTTGAACATGGTGTTAATTTAATGGAATTTTTTTTTGTAGCTTTATTAATGAAATTTGCTATCTAACATCGTGGCCGTTATTAATGTTGCTCACCCCAAAGATGGGTGACCACCAGCTCATATTAGGTTGAACAATTTTATAAGATTATAATTGGAGCTAGTTTGCTAATATTTTTTGAGGGACTTTGCCATCTCTTTTGCATTATTACCCCAAAATTGACATTTTTAGTTCTTGATAAGCTGCTGAGTATTCTTTCATTGACTTAAAAAAAACGTATGGAAATTCATATGCAAGTATTGGCGGATACTTTGTTATATCCTAGTTGAATTTGGCTTTCAAATAACTGTGTTATTACCTTAATTTTAATTAAGGTGAATTATTTGGCATTTAAGTACGTGTGAGTTGTGACTATATCAGCAATTTGTTAGAACCTTTTTACCGTTTGGTTCTGGCATTTAAGAGAGTTGTAGAGAGAAATATTGCATGCTCTTGGTTTCTATTGCTCAGGCTGATTACTTGTTTGTTTGCTTGGACAGCCAGGTTGGTTCTTGCTTTGGGGGCTAAACCAAAGCTCGACATGGTACCAAGGGTTGTAGAATATGCTCTGCCATTTTCCACTTTTGAGGATACATGTGTAAGTATTTGAGGTATTAAATTGATTGCTTTATTTGTTAGGTATTTGTACTTACCTTGATGTTGGCGTGGGGGATTACCCCTATATATATTTGACTCTTTGACTATATGACTACTTACAGTGGATTGGGTTGACTATAAGGAAAGCAAAACACAAAATTCCAGTTACTATTGACACTTTAATTCTAGTTGAAATTTACAATGTAGAGAAAAATAATTATAAATTGCTCTGTGGATTCTCTTGTTACATCAGATACTGTAATTGAACAAGAAACTACCTATCGGAAGGAGTGCATCTGGAGAATCTAGACTTGGAGGATAATTATTGTGTCTTGTCTTTCCTGATATGTTTTTTTGAACCTTCATTACTTGCCTAGCATTATGATATCCTTGCTTATTTGGTTAATTATTTGTTGTGTAGATTAATCTCTTGCCTACAACATATTTCTATTCTTGCTCTTTTCTCATTGTATTACTTGGCTATTACTCTCTTGTCTGCCTCCATTTTTTATATGTCCTGTAATTTGGATGTCTGCTTCCATCTCTTATACTAAATATGCAATCCTTGTAAATAGAAGCCATATTTTATTTGTTTTATAATCTGCATAAGTTTGTTTGTTTCTTGAGGTTGGGTTGTCTCACAAGGTTCTCTATGGAATGCATGTATGTTTTTCCTGTGCTGGTAAATTTTTCACCATGTATATTTTCAATTCTAATATATTGCTCTTATAAAGTTCCCATAACACTCATATTGATGGTACTTGGCCTGTGGACATTTTAAAATCATGTAGTATGATCACTTCTGGTTTGTGTGCTTAAAGTTGTGCATTTTCACCTTGCTCTCTACATGTTGTAGAACTACAGGAAAAATGAGGAGACTGCGGTTGAGAAGATAAAGGAGCCTATTTTTGATGAGATCACTCATGCCTTAATCGGACGCTATGGGTTGAATTTCACTAGACAAGATATATCTTCTCTCCGGTTTTAATGCAAGCAGGTGTGTGTTCATGTGAAATCATAATTTATTAGATGTATAGTAGATATCTCTTCTTCTTCTTCTTCTTTTTTTTTTTTTTTTACTTTTTCTTTTTTTTTTCTCTATTTGTGTGACAACTTGCTTTTGTTATAGCATGAAGCATCATTGCTAGACATAACTAATCAAGCTTGTGGTCCCTTTGTTGCATTCATCATTGCTAGACTAGACATGGACTTATAGTTCTCCCTTTGTTGCATTCATCCTTGTATTTTTTCATTTTCTATGGTTATTTTCTTGTGAATGATGCATTGAATATTAGAACTATAAGTGGCATTAGATGTAGGTGGCCTGGCAAGCTGCAGCTATTGCTGCCCTGCCGAGGCTGCTGCTGCAGGTGGCCTAGCAAGGCTGTAGCTGCTGCTGCCCTACCGAGGCTGCTGCTGCATATGGCCTAGCAAGGAACTTTGATCCTCTTGTATTAAAAAATTGTCTTATTCTATTTGTTAAGATTCGCGTTTTTAAATTATATAATCTTCATTAACTAATCTCAATTTCTATTGCTTTCTTGATTTGCAGGTTCTAGAATTTCATCTAAGAAGTTCAATTTTTTACTAAGATATGGGGCTTCTTTTGTGCTAGTGTTCTGCTTCTGTGCTGCTCCTTATGTGTTGTTGTTCTGCACTTCTGCTACTGTGTAGCTGCATATGTTTGTAACCTTGTAATTTATTTTAATTTTTTAGACAAAAATTGTAATATTACAACATTTTTTTTTTATGAAAATATGTAAGTTTATATATATGTTAGTGTTTATTTATCAATTTAAGTGAAAAAATGCAAAAAAAAAAAAAAAAAAAAAATTTAATTTTTTTTAGCCATTATTGCCACCGGTTTTGAACAGGAACCGGTGACAATAACCCCTTTAAAAAAACCCGGGAATGGTTATTAACCGGTGGCAATACTTGTTTTTGCCACCGGTTTAGAACCGGTGGCTTTTTAGAGGAGTATTGCCACCCCCCAAATGCCCAACGGTTCAAAACCGGTGGCATAGAGGGGTTTTGAACCGGTGGCCTTTTGTGTTTTTCTACTAGTGTGAAAAAATTGTTGAGAGAGCATTAGATGCGACAATTTATTCAACCAAGAGTGGCTTGGAGCCATTAGCAAAGCGTTGCTTACCTTGGAAGATAGAGTGTTAAGACAAGCCAAAGCATGCTTAACCACTCTTTGTTTCTTTGGATCTTGGAATCCGTTTATTCTCGCCAAATGGGGACAATTTTGATGCGTGGATAAGACGTTTAATAAAATTGAAAATTTTCATGAATACCTTTTAATTTTCAAACTTATTATGTTATTTACTTGATAAATGGTTATACTTTGCACTTATTTTTGTAGAATTCCAAATCAAACTGTATTGTTTTCCATGATTGGTAATGGAAATCTTTGAGAATGGTTCTCAAAGAAAAGTAAAGCATTTCTAAAATACAATTCTCATAAATGACTTTTATAACAAAGTTCGAAAGGACAGCTGGACATCATGTATTCAAAATAATAGGTAGTTTTGATAAAACATGAAGTATTGAGTTGCAAACTCAAAATTGTCAATATTGACAACCAACATATCTTTTCGTTTAATACATAGATGAGTAGGACTCATTGATGTAGTCATTCAAGCGTCAATTAAAGGAAAAAATGGAACTTTGTTTTACAGCGCATTAGATGCTTAATTATGCCTAACAAAGTTTAAAAGTAAAAGACTCTTAAAGCAATGGTTCTTAAAAGATTATGAGATGGAGTATGATAAGAAATAAAGGAAACAAGGAACGAAGAAAAGGAAAAAGATTCCATTTCAACTCATGAGTTCACATTATTGTAGTTAACTTAGCAATTCGTTATCTTTACAAGTATCAGATACTGCTTGAATGTTCCACTTTGAGAGTGAGCTCAAACTATTGAAGATAAGCTATGTCATCCACTTACAAGCTAAGAATGAAGCAAGTGGTGCTACATCAGTTGTAAGGTCGTATGCTTTGTTTAAAGACCTTTAAGCTAAGGCTGGAACAAATAAATGGTTATTGTGTTCCATAATCAGCAATTGATCCGTTTACACACGGAAATACTCACATTCAAAGCAATAGTTGCAAATTTATTTGAATGGCATGGTTGTCTAAACAATGAGTTGCTTGATTATAAACAAACATTATCTTAACATGATAAACTAGCAAAAGCTCAAATTCATGGGCATGATTTGCGTTCCGAACATCTTTAGCAATGTCAGATCGATAAGAACGTACTCAAGGCTCTATTAGATAGGCTCTTGATAGTTGATCGATTCGTAATCGTTCTAAGACAAGCAAGTCTTACTTGTTGAAACCGACAAAGTAAAGAGCTCTTATTCTTGGTATAGATAATTGACTCCGAAAGCTAAAGAGGATTCATTTACTTCAACGTTTCACAAAGAATTTGAAAGAATATGGTTATATTCATCAAATGTGAAAAAACTTGACCTTGAATAGTTTAAGAGATCAGTGAAGTACAGATTCAACTTGGCAAGATATCAAAACGTCTAGATTAGATCGAGCAATGTTTGCTTGAGCCAAGCATGACCATCACAAAGTTATGAAATTTAAATTTTCATAGTGTGTCTTCATAGAGACCTCGATGCCATTGAAAATGACTCCAACAATGATGGATCACATCCCTTCCTATAAAGTTCTTAAGATTTGCACGAAGGACTAATGTTACACTAAACAAAATGTCGAAGCTAAGAAAGGACGCCATATTCAGTTATGGATAGAATTATCTTCTAAATGTCTTTTAAAGTATATGTCTAAAACTCTTAGCCACAGTGGGAGTTCATTGGCTCAGTGGGAGTTAAGTGACTCAGTGGAAGCTGACCAGCTTAGCAAGAGCAAGGTGGTTGAGTGGGAGCTTAATGGCTCATTAAAGGCTAAGATAGCTTAAGTGGGAGCTAACTGTTTGTTTCATCACAACGAACTTTTACCCAAATGCAATATACATGTCTCTTTGTAAGCATTCAAGTGAGACAATGGGCATTACCTCCACAACCTAATTGAGAACATAGTGTTTGTTGCTCTAAGTGGTGTCTTTCTGGAAAGTAACACGTTTCCAAAACGACAAGTGGGAGGAAAATGAACTCGATGACAATCGAGCTTAGCAACAAACTAGAAATGAGAATCTCGGAAGACCTTAAAAGGGCTTCGTGAGAATGCTTGATCAAGAATACTCAAAAGGACTTTACAAGTGCCTTAAAAGAGAATTCATTACTCACAAAACATCAAAAATGTTGGAGTAAGATCAACATAATAAAAGGGCTTTGGAAGTGCCTTGAAACTCAGTGTTGATGCAATAACCCCGTGTAGGTATAGAATTCACCTAAGGCTTGGGTTGAATCTTATAAATTTTCTATTAAGTTAGAAATAAACCTAAGACTTACAAGCATATTATTTATTATTAGATAGTAAAGGAATAATGTCTTGTAAGATAGCTACGACAAATCAAAATTCCGAATAATGGTTAGAGGCCATAAAAATCCGAGATAGACTTCATGTTTGATAATCATGTTTGAAACTTCATTAATTTGCATAAAGGGTTAAAGACCCATCGATTGCAAATAAGTTTTCAAGTAGAAAACTAACAAATGTTGAAATGTATATGCATACATAGCTAGATTGGTTGAAAAGGATACAATTAAATTGACGGAGTTGATTTTAATTAAAAATCTATTCACCAATCGGAATGCTAAAGTCTTTTCGTGATTGTTTTAGCAAAATTGCTCATATGAAATATGGCAAAATAGATACCAAAACCGCCTTCCTAAAATAGGATTTTAGAAGTGACTATGCTAGCTTAAGGAATCCGTTATGGGATTTAAGGAAGCATTGCATATAGGAATTGGAATGTGTTTTCTCATAAAGTTAATAAGAGGATTGACTTATGGAGAAACATACAAATTCTTATGAATAAGAAGTTTAGTGGGAGCAAAATTAAATTTTATAAAGGTCCAATAAGAAGTCTATGAACTCAGTTGTGAAATAACTATCCAATGCTGAATGCTTAGATTTGAAAGTATTTTTGACAATGGACCAAACAAAAGACGATAATTAGTTTGTATTGGGTATTAAGTTCTAATGTATAGACTTGATTAAATGTTTAAACGTGTAAAGGAGTTTACCGTGTTAAACATGAATGGAAGGACTTTGAAAGACTTTCAACCTGTATGTATAAAACTGAGTAAATGTTTGAACTAAGTATGAGCTTGCTAAGTCAAACATGAAAGACTCTAATAAAGACTTTCTACCTTATCACACAACAAACTGTTTAGGAAAGACTCAATGAAATTGAATGAGCTAAAATGACAAATTGATGGAATAAGAATTACTCTGCAATTTAATCCATCATATACGCTGTGATATGAAATTGTCGCAGGACTTACTTTCTTAGAGTATGTAAAGTATGTATGTAGTACCAATCAACTTGAATCTATGTAATAGATCGTTAGATTATGGCCAAGAACATCCAAAGTACTTGGATAAGTAACAAGATGAGTTCTTGACTTGTGGAAACAAATACAATTTGAGAATTGATATTGCAAGCACAAGCCTTAACAAGGATTAGATCCTTAACAAGGAAGCCATTTATAAGCACGAGCTAACAATAAGTCGTGGCTTGAGAATGGTAACATGGACGTGGATCCATGTGTAATGTGCAGGAATTTAAGGAAAATTTCCATGATCACAAGTGATTAGGGTATCCCAAATCATTGTGAGCGGTTTGGAATGAAACCCAAGCAAAGCATCGTCAGGAAGTCTACTAAAATAAATGTTGAGAATATTATTGCCTTATTGGCGATAATAAAGAAGATGTTCTATGGAAACTTCGTTGCTGAACGTTAATGATTGTACGTTGTCAAGTTGAAGGTCTCAATCATGAAAATGAGTGACAGCCATCACTTGGACAATAAATCCTAAATCACAAATAATCCATGACACTCTCAAATTTTATCATCTCATTATGAAAGTGATCAGTAATGAAGATGCTAAGATTAGCAAAGCAGTTATAACTAAACCTATGAAATAAGTGATTGACAACATTCACAATTGCATGAATGAAATCAAGCATATTAGATATGGGTGTGATTTCTATAGATGTTTTATAAAGAGTGATACTCTTAAACATTCGGAAAAACCATTTATCATGAGATGAACCATTCAGGTTTTGGAATAATTAAAAATTTCATGCAATTTTTTATCACTCCGTTTGCTATTTAATTGTGGTTTAGAATTAAATAATGAGTCCATTCGATTCTTGGATTATTCAAAATAGGGTATCAAGACCAGTCTTGGTAAGGAAACACCTATTATGTGAACGTTCAATATTATAATCGAAAATTATCTCTAATCGAGGTCATTTAAACGATGGGCGATTAATCACTAGTTGAGACCTTCAAGGACACGATTGTCATGAATCATTTGCACAGGTATTGGCTATCGGAACCTATTTCCTTGACCATGAGTATTGTGAGTTCTCTTGTTTGAGTACTTGTCCGCATTGATGCTGTCAAACGTCTGTCGTAATAGGGGATTATAACGGCAACACTCGGGCGGCTAGGTCCTCTCATTAAGAGGAACTACATTACAAGACTAGGAATGTCCCTCTACTAAAATAGGGAAGATGTCTTTGTTGTATACAAGGCCTCTCGTAGAGCAAGACAGTAAAAATGCATAGTCGTGCTCGGATGGATTAATAGGGTATACAAGGCCTCTCGTATA